GCTGAGTTCTGGAATTACAAGACTAATCTACTCCTACAAAACGTAAGTGCAATGCGTAAATTAAAGTGCAAAAATTTAAAGATAAATAAAATTAATAAAGACGTAGAGTCTGGATTTGGTCAGGGGTGTCTTCAGTCTTTACTTCTATCTATTTATAGTCCTCTCTTGGCGCCTTCAGAGCAGTTAGGTCGTTCTCTTTTACAATGATCTCTTTCATTTTCGCTATTTCTTAATGTCATACTCATTTCTTTATGCGTGTTTAACTATTACAATATAGCGACCCCGGTCTTTTTCCATTTGATTATTGTATCCGGACTTAGGTTCCGTAGCTCCTGCCATTGTATTATGATTGTTACCGTCCTAAATGTTACCTTTAGTAAGGGCAACGTCACAGGTTTTAAATCGGTTGAGTTCTGGAATTACAAGACTAATCTACTCCTACAAAATGTAAGTGCAATGCGTAAAGTAAAGTGTAAAAATTTAAAGATAAATGAAATTAATAGAGACATAGAGTCTGGATTTGGTCAGGGGTGTCTTCAGTCTTTACTTCTATCTATTTATAGTCCTCTCTTGGCGCCTTCAGAGCAGTTAGGCCGTTCTCTTTTACAATGATCTCTTTCATTTTCGCTATTTCTTAATGTCATACTCATTTCTTTATGCGTGTTTAACTATTAGAAATTTCTATTTATTTACTCTTTTTCCATGTACCTCTCACATGCTGCTTATCATATTTGCCAGTTGATGATTTACATTTGCAGCTCATGTGGGCACTTTTGAAGGCGGAATTTTTCAGTATCTAAATACCTTGTACTTGCCACGTATCTCTTCGCACTGGACGATGTAAATAATTTAAATGCGATGCCAATAATTTCAAATTTAAGACGTCTTATCAACAAATTATTTATCTTAAACTTGCGTTGTCACAAAAGTAAAAAGGTAAAATTTTAAGTTTTATTTTATTTATTGTGATAATGAGTCTATTTGATGCATATTTTTGTCAAATCAAAAGTGATATAATTAAGAAAAGCAAAATCTAAAACAATCTTCTCCCAACTTTTTTATAATTAATGTTTTCTTCAAAGCAAAAGTTACCTCATACATTTGCATATACATTCATAAAAGAAAAGATAGATATTATAAACAGTTTCAAACGTTGCACGAAACAAATCCAATAATTTTTATTACAAATTTGATTTTTTCTATATATTTTTCAACAATGTTAGGTAATTCAAAATTTTGTGACTCAAATGGCTTAAATCACTCAAAACGACGTCATTTTGAGTGTAAATGAGTGTAAAACGATGTCGTTTTGACAGATTTGAACTATTTGAGCCACAAAATTTTGAGTTACCAAACATTTTCCTATATTTTTTTAACAGTAAATCTATTCATTAAAAGAAATTTTCAAGAATTTTATTTAGAATAAAAAATAATAGTTTTGGAATTTTTTATGAAAAAAGTACATAGCAGTGCAACGCCAGAAAAATGTTTACAATATTATTTAAACACTTGTGATGTTAATTATTTATAGGGACAATTACATATCAAGGAAATAGGAAAAAATATTGAGAAAATATCATTTTACCCTCAAAATTATTATGCAAAAATCAATTTGGCAGCTGGACCTCGCGTTATTTTAATTTGACTTCTAAACTTTTTAAAATTTGATCAAATTATCTCCCGCTTTTCGTCTACAATCAAACGAAATTTACTGACGTGGTACCAAATTTTATTTGAAACTTCATTTTACCCCACAAGCTTTACCTTAAAAATCAATTAGCCCCCCAAATATAAAAAAATTAATTTTAATATTTAATTAATAATTTTTTATCTCAATAATGAAAAAATTAAATTTTAAATAATATACTTTGCAATATATATATATATATATAATCCTCATTTAGAATTATCTCTTTAAGTCTCAAATTATCTTGAGTCGATCTTGAAGAAACTAATTCAGCCAAAAATTTCTTGGCTACTTTATGTGTGTGCGCACGCACAATTATAACTAGTTTATTCTCCAAATTAATTTTAATAAAATTGATTGACTAATAGTAATTTAAAATTAGGTTAGTAAAAAGAAATTTTAAATTCAATTACTGTCTAAAGAATACTCAACGGAACTAATACTTAATATTTTTATTTAAAATTTAATTTTTTCATTTTTTAGATAAAAATTATTAATAAAATATTTAAATTTAATTTAATTTAATTTTTTTTTTTATATTTGAAGGGCAAATTGATTATTAAGGAATAATTTGAGGAGTAAAATGAAGTTTCAAATAAAATTTAATGCAACGCAAAGATGAGAACTATTTACTCGATTTTAGCATGGTGGCTTGGTTTTAGATAGGGTTGTAAATGAGCAGAGTTGAGCTGGGTAATAGGTTAGTTTGGCTTGAAAATTTAGCAAATGTCAAATTATGTTCGAGGTTGGTTGGATTACCTTTTGAGCCAATCTTGAACAAGTTTCAATTTAGTTGATCACAAGCTGAGTTCAAGTACTAAAATTTTATTATATTGCATATAATTAAGTCATGTTGATCTCAAACTAACTTTTAACGAACTGAACAATAGCTTGGTTCATCTTACAATTCTAATTTTAGATAGATGGAGTTTATATTTTTATTTTTATTTTTTGATTTGGAAGATGTGTCAGTAAGTACCCATTTCACCTTCTTTTGCTACTTCTTTAGTTGGCATGTTCCAGGTTATAGTTTAAGGTAGAGCTAATTGTGAAGAAAAGGGTTATCTTTCTCTACTTTTCCCTAGTGTATCTCTTAATCCACACTGAAGCCCTTACTTGACTTATTGTTTACCCCTTACTGGGGTTGCTGAAGGTGTGGGTTCATCTTCTTTCAAAGATTTTAATTGTTTTGAACCGTCCTAGTCCATGGCAATCCATGTTGATTCTTCTAAGTTGTAGCAAATGTTGTTTATCATAGTTTTATTGTATACACTACTCAGAGCATGCGGATTGCTAGTTTTAAGATGCGTGGTGGAAGAGGTGTTTCAATCTAAAGGATCTCAACAACCTAGGTGGACGGTAGAGGGAGGAGGGTGGCTGTATTAGACTGTGGGGGAAGGTTTTAAGCCCCCAAAACTCTGGCAATCTATAGGATGATTGGAATTACAAAACGCGGAACAACAAAACCACATTCTATAGCTAAGAATATGATTCTTGGAAGCCCTGCCTATTAGTAAGAAGCATTTAGAAGTTACGGCCTGACATCGAGAAGTATCAAGTTACTTGCAGTTTAGTACCTCCCTACTGCACTAGCATGCATCGACTACTATGACATACATGCTGTTATTTGGACTTACCTAGTGGCGTCTGCCAACTTGGTAAGTTGGCATCTACTGCGCATGATTGTGGATAGATGGTGTGCAATATTTCTTCAGTGATCTTCAAAGTACTTGCATCTGGTTGTTTGTAGCCATGGGAGTCTGGCCATTTACTATCTATTAATGAGATTTGCTTTTGTGTTGGTCAGATTTGTCTTAATCTCTTTAATGAACGTCTTAAACATTGTTAAATGCATCATTTGTTGAAATTCAATATGGTTGCAGTGGAGAAGATAAACTAATTTTGCTCTTAAAATAAATTTCATAGTTGTGATTGTCTCTCTCATTCTTTGAAGCTCATTCGCGTCTTTGTTGGAATTTTGGATGAGCATTGTTTGAGAGAGATATTTAGATCCTGAGGAATAGTATTTGAGTGCAATGTTCAATTCCTCTTGAGACCATTGGCTAATAATGGGATCTTGTTGTTTGTTGATTAAATATGCAAGTCATATTGATTGTTTCTGAGACTTTCGAAACACGATTTCAATAGGTGTTTAAAAAAATTAGTTGAAGTATTATTTTCAAACGACTTCACAAAACAGCATAGGTTTAGGAAATAAGTTCATAACAGTATGTATCTGGGAAATATGATCTGAAAGAACTCGACTTTGGGAAAAAAAACTTTCATGGTAACAGTTTAGCTCTTCATTCTCACTCATTTCATGGACAACCTAAGTCCACTATTAAGATCTATGTTTATTAGGGAAAAAAAAAATTAAATAAATAAATAAATAAAAATAAAAATAAATAAATAAATAAATTGTTTTTGTTTTGCTTGGGTTTGGATATGAATTTGAATACTTTGTTTTGATGGTAGCAAATGATTACATTATTGGCTTCTTGTTTCTCTCTCATACCAACCATAAGCATGGTTGAATCACACATCAACAGAAATCAAATGCTTCTCAATTGCAATCACACAGTGGTTACGTTTTTCAATTTGAAAATAAGATTTCCAAATCATAATCTAAATATGAACGATGCAAGAGTAGTGTGCATATGTAAAAGACCTTTTCTATATTACATGACATATATGCCTCTTAGGTGTTATCAATCCTTATGTTGGGTCAGTTTATACGGAGCTTTGCTCTGGCTTTGGTCGAGATGAACGGTGGAATTGGTCGAGGTGTGCGCAAGCTGGTCTGGACACCCTGAGTTATCAAAATATATATATACATATATATATGCCTCTAATAAATGGAGACGTGAAACTATTTTTGAACCAACCACCAACCAAATTCCAATCATGTGTATATCTATTCGGTTCCGGGGAACTTCTTCAATGCTTCAATGTCTGTGGCTATTTCTTTTCTACTATCCTGTGAAAGAAATTATTTTTGTCAAATTCACTTTTCACGTATTCATTTTTTTTTTTTTTTTGTGGATAAATAAAACACAACAATACCAAATTAGGCGTCAAATCTGGTAAAGGAGATTTGTGGATGCATTGATTCAAATTAGTTCGAGGGTTTAATTCCATTACTTAGATTATGAGCTACGCCGAAAAGATAAGATTTTACAACATAGCAAACTATATTCAGCCTCCTCCACACAGAATTACTGTAGATTTGTCTTCCACTGCATCCCGGTATTGAACATAGCAGCAAAAGAATCAAAAAAATAAATGGAAAAAAGAAAAAAAGAAAAAAAAAAGATTTCATGTGAACCATCAGTATAGACTCAAATCAAAAGAAGTTGTAACAGAAAGCAATGGAAAGACAAACTGAGAAATAGTTTCAAGCTTCCTCTTCTTTGGTATGGTGCCCGGTTTGCTCCTCACCTTTTCCTTTAGATCACTGAATAATTTTCCGGCATCAACAGGAGGAGATGACTCTTCTGAGGAAGTGGCCTTGACTTGAAGAATAGAAAACCTCCCGGGTTCTGCTTTATCAATTTCCCAAAATAACCACGCACAACATAAGTTCGTTTTTCTTATGCAAGTTTGCATTTTTCCAAATGCAATTTAGAAACTACATAAAACCCAAGTAAAAGAAAGTTGAAAATGTGAAACTGAAATGAAGAGAAGAGCAGTAAACCATGCTAAGAGGAACTTCAACTATGTGTGGGTTCGACGAAATGCCTCACAGAGAGGAAGCATACCTGAGAGAGCTGTTTCAAGGAAGTGGAAAAGGCTGGGGTGGACAAGAGGAGAGGTGGAAGGGAAGGCAGCGATGAGCAGCGAGGTGGGTAGTTGGCAGTGGTGGTGGAGGGTAGCCGACAGGGCATTAAGGTGGCGGTGGCCGCCATGGAAGTGGATGCCATGTAAATTGGCTGCCCAAAGCAATTCCCAAGGCTTCCAAGGCTTTTGTCTGTGTCTCTCTGCTTGTATATCTACCTCTCTTTCTCTATCTACTCTCTCTGTTATGTTGTGCTCTCTATTATTTTGATCTGAGTTGGGAGTTTTTTTTAGTAATATTATGCAATCAAAAATACATATTCTTAAAAATAAAATATATAAATTAATTATATTTATTTTGCTTGTGGATGACATTATATTAAATATAAATTTATTTCATGTAATTTTTCATTTTTCATTTTTTTATTTTGAAAAAGAAGGTAATTACAATGTAATTTTTTTAAGTTTTTTATTTTTTTTGGTTGTGAAAAGTGGTAATTTTCATATAATAATCTCATTTAGAATGACTATGTTATTTGATCTGAACTCAGTTTTGTTTTGTTTTGTTTTTTTGTTGGAGAAATGGTAAATTTCAAATGAAAGTCTTATCTTGCATTAAATTTCTGTTAATATGAATTACTATTTCTTTTTAACATCCTTTCTGCCCATAATACATTTTAGCCACTGATTCTGCTAGGTCACGCGTGGAGGAACTGAGCTTCCTCATTGGTTCATTTCCTATCTTAAAAATACAGGCTCTCACTTCATACACTCAACTGACTCTGGAGATGCTGCTGTGAGCTTTCATGTGGGCTTATTATCCTCGGTTTATTTTAATAATTTTAAATGTTTATATCGTAAGATTTATTGTATAAATTATTTATTAAAAAAATTAAGTTAATCAAATATTCAGAGTCGCGCAATTACGTCCTAATCGTTTTTTAAAAAATAAATAGTGTATTATCAAAATAATGCTTGCCATTTATTTTTTAAAAAATAAATATGATCTCATTACGTGACTATGAATGTCTGATTAACTCTTTTTTTCTTATTATAAATAATTTATTTCATTAATCTTATAATGTGAACGGTTTAAATTATTGACATAAATTAAGAATAAGCCCCACAAGGGGCACAACACAACAACATCCGCAAGCCCCACACCCACGAGTGCACACACAAACTCATCTCTATTAATGGCTGCTTGTGAAGAAATTTATGAAGAATCGGTCTCGTTTGGGAACAGGTTAATTTAGTAACTTTTTGACTATTTGGCTAAAATATAAGTTAAAAAAAAATCAGTATGTTTGGAATGACTTTTTGACTTTTTACGAAAAGATGTGTAAAAAGTAGAGAGAAAAGAGAATCTTTGACTTTTTGGTATGTTTTGTTGGCTTTTTGGCTAATTTACTAACTTTTTGACTTTTTAACTAAAAGGGAGGGTTCCCAAACGAGGCCGAAATTAAGAAAAAAAAGGAGAAAAAGTTTAACTTCTTTTTTCTTTCTCTTTTCTTTTCATTCTCCTAATCCAAGATTCAAACACAATTTAAAATGTCAAATTAAATTAGCATAATTTTGGCATAGCTTAAAACTCACAACTAGAATTGTGTAAAATACTAAACAATCCGCTAAAATCGTCCAATCCGCAATGATCCGTACCGCTCAATCCACTAATCACAAATTAAATTTTGAACTTTATAATTTGCTTTCGAAACTGCTCCGTTCTGCTATAATTAATACATATAAATTTTTAGAATCTCTAATGAAATATTAAAGTAAAAATGAGTGTAAGGGAGATTTTAAATGTGAAATTTATTACAAATTAGTAGTTATATATAAAAAAAAAATTATGTAAAATTAATTTGTGTTATATATATGAAAAATATTATGCAAATTAATGTTATATATTATGCAAAAGCTTGATAATTGGTTAAAATATTCTTCAATCTGCCAATCCTCCCAAAAGCGCTCAAACCGCAATTTGTCAATCTGTCAATCCACCATTCAATTTATAATTTTACTTTCAACCCGTCTTAACCGCACCATGCGCAACCTTAGCCTTGCCACACCCCTTTCTTCCATTGTGCATGATGCGAACTTAATCTTCATGTCCATTGTATTTCAACATTACCTCCTACCGTCCAATCTAGACATCACCATCCCCTCACCCTCACCAATTCCCCAATTAATGACCACCCAGATGAAGATGACGACGTCGAGTTCTACTGTGATGCTTGCGAAAAAAGAAGAGAGCTAGATCTGTAAGAAATGCTTTTGAAAAAATAGGTTTTTCTTAAACTTTGGTCTATTTTTTAAGTGGGACCCATGTGCCGAAGTTGGCGGGTGTTGTTGGTAATAGGTTCTATGCCGCATTGTGATTCACATAGTATATTTGATTGTTCAAAACCATTATTGGGTGAATGGGAAATTGATGCCAAAGTAAGCTCCACAGAAATGGTGTTTTGGTGGGTTTTCCGAAATTGAAGGAAAGTTTGTCCCACATTGCTTAGCTAGGCTAACATTGTACGGGTTTATAAGCTTTGAGTTTAGACCTTGGGGTAAGCCCCAAGGGGCACTCAAATTTTGTAGAATGGGAGGTTATGAGCAAAGTGAGCTAGACCTATTGGACCCAAAACAAATAGACATGCGTGTGCCGCCGCCTCCCATTCGGTCGAGTGGGCTGGGTTGGGATAGGTTTGGGCACGGGTGCGTGGTGTGAGATTGGGTTGGGCTTGTCCGGCCCAATACTTATCTTTTGGGCTAAAAACTTTTGAATTTTTTTTTTCATAAAAAATAAATTCTTACCTTTTGGAATTTGAATTTCGGTTTGAAATTCAAAATTCATTCCAAAATGATCTCGACGTTTCTGAACGTTGGCAGTTTGGTCCTTCGCACCTCTTCAGAATTTTTCTTCCAATCGAATAGGTTCATTATCTGTTTAAATTTAACCCTACCTGTTCAAATCTGTCTGAACAGGTTCGGTACCTGTTGAAGTCATTCTAAAAAGCCACCAGTTCACCTATAAATAGACAAATCCTTCATTTTATTTTTCATCCAATTTTTGTTCTTCTTTTATGCTTTTATTTCCTACATTTGCTGCATAAATTCCCTGCGTGAGAAAGAGTATAAATACAAAGTGTGTTTGTTAGACAATTAGTTGGTAGTGCTGCTATTAGTTGTTATTGATCATTTCATCCTAGGAGATAGACGTCCAATATTTGTGAGCACCCTAGAGAGGACAAATCTGTCTTAAAGACACAGTGTTCAACACTAGACTTGATCAAATTTTGTTCGAAAAAATAATACAGTTAGTGATTAGTTTATTTTTATATTTTTATTAATTCTTCTTTTCCAGATTCTGGTATTGTTTTTGTAACAAAATAAGAATCTGTTTTTCTTAAAAATATATATATATATATATTTTTAAGAAAAACAGATTCTTATTTTGTTACAAAAATAATACCAGAATCTGGAAAAGAAGAATTAATAAAAATATAAAAATAAACTAATCACTAACTGTATTATTTTTTCGAACAAAATTTGATCAAGTCTAGTGTTGAACACTGTGTCTTTAAGACAGATTTGTCCTCTCTAGGGTGCTCACAAATATTGGACGTCTATCTCCTAGGATGAAATGATCAATAACAACTAATAGCAGCACTACCAACTAATTGTCTAACAAACACACTTTGTATTTATACTCTTTCTCACGCAGGGAATTTATGCAGCAAATGTAGGAAATAAAAGCATAAAAGAAGAACAAAAATTGGATGAAAAATAAAATGAAGGATTTGTCTATTTATAGGTGAACTGGTGGCTTTTTAGAATGACTTCAACAGGTACCGAACCTGTTCAGACATATTTGAACAGGTAGGGTTAAATTTGAACAGATAATGAACCTATTCGATTGGAAGAAAAATTCTGAAGAGGTGCGAGGGACCAAACTGCCAACGTTCAGAAACGTCGGGATCATTTTGGAATGAATTTTGAATTTCAAATCGAAATTCAAATTCCAAAAGGTAAGAATTTATTTTTTATGAAAAAAAAAATTCAAAAGTTTTTAGCCCAAAAGATAAGTATTGGGCCGGACAAGCCCAACCCAATCTCACACCACGCACCCGTGCCCAAACCTATCCCAACCCAGCCCACTCGACCGAATGGGGGGCGGCGGCACACGCATGTCTATTTGTTTTGGGTCCAATAGGTCTAGCTCACTTTGCTCATAACCTCCCCTTCTACAAAATTTGAGTGCCCCTTGGGGCTTACCCCAAGGTCTAAACTCAAAGCTTATAAACCCGTACAATGTTAGCCTAGCTAAGCAATGTGGGACAAACTTTCCTTCAATTTCGGAAAACCCACCAAAACACCATTTCTGTGGAGCTTACTTTGGCATCAATTTCCCATTCACCCAATAATGGTTTTGAACAATCAAATATACTATGTGAATCACAATGCGGCATAGAACCTATTACCAACAACACCCACCAACCTCGGCACATGGGTCCCACTTAAAAAATAGATCAAAGTTTAAGAAAAACCTATTTTTCCAAAACCATTCTTACATGTTATTCTCAATCTTTTCTTAATGTTAGGGTTGGCAAATCAGTGTCATTAGGGTGGAGAAGTATCTTGTGGGGAAGAAGTCTAATTAAAGAAGCAGTTAAATGGGTTGTGGGAGATAGCCAATCTATTAATCCACTAGAAGATGATTGGATTTCTCACCAGGTATTCCAATGACTTTTAAGGAATGGTTTTTGGAATCAATCAAGGAAGAGGAGATCATCATTAAATCAATTGCTATCCTATGGGCAACTTGGCGCCAACAAAAAAGTTTGCTTTTTTGATGTTGTGCACAGGACAATTCCACAGACTATCAGTACAGTGGATGAGATGCAGAAATATGTTATCAATGCATGCAAGTTGCTGCCTCTATCTAATATTGATACTGATAATATATGTAGTGTTGTTAATAATTGCATACTGGTCAGTGGTCAATTCCTTGGATAACATCTCAAATTTTCAGGTGTGGACAATAGTGATTGATGGCTCTTGGAGGGCGAAAGGATATAAAGTCGGATGTGCATGGGTGTGCTTAAATGAGCTGCAAGAGAAAGTGATGGAAAAGGCTACAAGACCTTAACATTAAAAACTGAGTACTAGCTCCTTGTTCTGGTGTGAACTATTTGGATTGAAGAAAACTTCTGATTTGTGAGTATTGATTCTCAATCTAAATTGAGCAAAGAAAGCATTCAAAAACCAAGACAAGCAC